AAGTCAATTGGGTGTGATGCTCTGATTTCTCTCGGGCGTCCAGTTCAATAGTACCAGTGTTATCTCTCTTATTTTACCAATGAAGAAAGTGAGCCCAGAGACTGATGTCATATAGCTAAGAACTGTAAGAACTGAGATTTGTGCACAGTTTCCACAGTCCAAGTAGGATACTTTTTCCACTAAACCATGTTGCCATTGTAGGCTCCTAAACTGGGAAACCACATAGTGAAAACAATATTTTAGAGAGGTAATTTTATTCTTTATGATCCAGATATGAAAAAGTAGAAAGCTGTGTATCAAGGTAATATTGCTTAGCCAGGTTATGTTTGAATAATAGGATCGATAGATAAAAAAAATAAAGATTAAAAACCCCTTATGAAATAGTTTCAGACTTGTTTTTGCAGGGATGCTAATTGTATGGAGAATTTGGTATTCTGAGAGATGTTAAATTGATAGCTCTGCAGATACCTGAGATGGCTTTGCTATAATGTAGTTTTGATGAATCCAACTTGACATATGGTAGTTCTTCTGATGCAGGTTTATTGGGCCCAATTTTGAAGTTCTTCCTCTGTCGATAACAAAAATGAATAAAATCAAATTTTGTCTGAGTAGAAACTGTATAGTCAGACTTAAAAAGCAATTGACTAATGAATGTTTCATCAATACCTACATAGCAAGGTAGAATTACAATTGTTGAAAGTTATTTTAATTTTCATATTAGAGTCCTTCTCTAATTAGATATGAAAAATTTGAGTTATGTTACTTTAAAGAATTTGTGCTTGTCAATAACATGGTAATTTGGAATTGAGTTCAAATGACTTTGCAAGTTTAACTTTTCCTTTAAATTTGCATTAATTATTCTATCCATTTCTAATAGAGACATGAGTCAAAATTCAGGTTATATGGTGTCACTAAAAACTTTTGTTTTTAATTACTTTCACATATCCTTTTAATTAAAGCTTTTATTTTTGTTAATGAAGTCTTATATTCCAGTTCTAACTTTATTATCTTTGGGAAATAAATTAATATCAAATAAGAACTAAGTATTCTGATGGCATCTTGGTAACTACATTGGCTTAATTTTTTCATAGATTTTTGTGCTTATTTCAGTTTTGGAACTGATTTTCTAATGTACAAAATGCAGATGAAAGAAAAGACAAGGACATCTAAGTAAAGCACAACAGTGCATAAGTGCAGTGAAAAATATTCTTAGATTTACATAATGGATTTACTCTACCACCCCTACTGTTTCACAGAGGCAAAATCTTTGTGCACAATAAATAATTTATACCACATCATCAATATCTTACATTTAACTGCATTGGAAGCAATCCTTTTCATTACTATTAAGATAGAGGAAAAAAAATTTAAATTATAAGGTTTATCAAGATGGCTCTGGATACATAAATCTAATTTCCCAGAAACTCCATTTTTAAAGTGTTGAATTCATTTTTTTAAAGGAAAGAGTGCTTTACTGCTTTATAGATGATAAGGATCCAATAAAGCAATTAGTAATTAAATGAAGATGCTCTACCAACTGATGGAAGGGAAGAGTCTTTCTGAAGCTCTACTTTGGAAATATCTTTAATTGAATTGAATTTAATAAGTATTTTAAATGCCTATTATGTGCAAGACTTCATGCTATGTATTGGGGACATATAGAGACAAATTATTCATATTTTATTAAATGACAGTCAAATTCTTGAAACTTCATTATCTGGCTGCATGCAGAAAGTTATTTAGGGATATAATTACATTAGGAGGATCACACATGTATCTGCAATTTCTCCTTTCTCCCAGCTCCAGCCTGTTTGGAAAGACAGAACATCTCTCTTTCTCTGCCTTCCTATACCCCAACCACCAGCATCATTAGCATTATTACCTTTATAAAATCCAGAAATTTCAATGCCTAAAATCAGGGATTTATAATGGAATTTTAAAAATAATAATTAAAAACCCTCTTATCCAACTCCACATTTTATTATATCACCCTATTAACTTAGCTATGATTGTTAATAATAATGCTTATGCAGACCACTCTAAATTGTGCTTTTAAAATAAACAAAACAAACTCTCTTGTCTTACTTTAATTAAACATCAAAATCCTCATGATGTCCTAGTTACTTGCCATTATTCCCACTAGACAGATTTGTAAAGTTGAGGCAAAGATTGAGGTGTCTCATAGTTTTGCCAGTTCTATAGGTTGGCTATGAAATAAATATAAGGTAAACCAATGATAAATCTATGAGTTTGGGGCTGGTGTTTCTCAGAACATTCACTATTTTCCCCGTGTCCAATTTCCATCTTCTTTAACGTCAGGTTAGTAGTCAGGCATATGGTTGAAATATTGGCTATTCATACAGCTTCTATGGTTTTTTTGGGCAACTGTGTATTGTAACATATTTTGAGAAGCAGCACTGTGGTAATGAAGAGTGCTGAGGTTGGTGTGTGGAAGACCTAGGTTTGAATCCAGAATGGATCACTTATTACTGTGTGACCCTTGGAAAATCACTTATCTATCTCCTTATCTATAAAAAGGGTGTTACTGTATAATATTTGCATTTCCCTCTACTTGGAGTTGTTGTGGGCCTCAAGGCCTTATAGAAATATCAGCTCTTACCTTGGTTAGTACTAAATTAAATAGTTCCAACCATAACAGCGCTGAGGGGCTGAAGGTACTTAACTCTTTCCCCCCAATCCCCCGCCCCCACCCAATCAACTCCAACAGGAACTAAGAAATATGTGTCGAGAAATATGTGTCGAGAAATACGAGTCAAGAAATATGATTTCTCATCTACCCATCAAGTCACTCCCCTAAGTTTGAGCTCTAGCACACAAAGGGTGGGGAAGAAGGGAGGGGAAGTAGCTGATAGGCGACCCTCACTTGCCCGAGGGCTGTGACTTTCTGTTGCAAGTGGCCTACTGACTTGCAAGAGGGAAGCAGGTGCATGATTAAAGTTGGGGGCTAGGAATTTGTGAATGCTTCTTAAAATTCTTCCTGTTCTGGAGAGAAAAAAAAAACAGTTGTGTGTGTGTGTGTGTGTGTGTGTGTGTGTGTGTGTGTGTGGTTTGGTGGGAGGAGGGGGAAGGAAAGGACTCTGTGCCAGAGTGAGTGCGTATGTTGCAGCAAGAGCAGTACTGGGCAAGGAGAGTTGGGCTGAGTGGGAGTCTTGTTTTAGAAGCAGCAGTTGCCAGCAGCAGAAGCAGGACCGGGAGCCCAGCCTGACACAAACCTGCCAGCAAGTAGCAGAGCCCCGAGCACGAGGCAGGCGCCCCGGCGCGCGCGGTCGCAGCTGTCTCTCCACCCCAGAAGCCCCAGGCTGGTCCAGGAGAGGGAGCACAAAGGCAGGCGGCGGCGGCACAGAGCGGACCCCTCTATCTCTGGTGCCACAGATGCTCTGCTCCTTCCCAGCGCCCCACCTGAGAGCGCGCCTGGCTGGGCTGAGAGAGGACGGGTGGAGGAAGCGACGGCAGCATCAGCAGCAGTAGCATCAGCAGCAGTAGCATCAGCAACAGTAGCATCAGCAGCAGTAGCATCAGCATCCTTAGCACTGCTCCTCGAGCGCCCCTCCTCCGCCCTCTTTGCCTCCCACCCGCTGTCTCCGAGAGGCAGCCGGGCTGCAAGGGAACCCATCGAGGGTAATATGTTCCCGCGGCGACTCCTCCCGTGCGTGTCCTTGTCCCCGGGTTCGGTGCCGCAGCCCCTCCTCGTTTCTTCTGCTCCTGCCGCCGCCGCTTCTATCCCTAGCTCTCTCCATCTCCAGCTCTGTCGCTGCCGCTGCTCCTGATGGATGCCGGGGAGTGCTGCATTGCTTAAGCGCCTCTCCCCCACCTCCCCGTTTGCTGGTAGGGTAGGGGCCCTGAGTGCTGCTCTTTCGCCTCTCTTCATTTAAGGGGGGTTTATTGCCTAGCCATATTCATTTCTGTTTTCTTTTTTCCCCTTTCATTCCTTTTCTTCTTTCTCCTCCACCCTGAGACCATGTAGATTCACTGGGGAGAGAGCCCACCTAGGCGGGAGTGGGGATAGGCGGCTTAGATAAAAGGCTGAGAGGAGGAGGTAGTGGAGGGGGAACCCACGCTGCTGCTGCTGCTGCCACAGCCACCACCACCGAAATTTTGCTGGTACCGTATGAGATCACTGCATGCCAAAGGGAGAGGGGGAGATACCCAGCTTTACCGGATCCCTCTACTTGGATCAAAGGGGTTTTTAAACACAAACCTACAGCTCCTTTTTTTTTTTTTAAATGAAATGACAGAAAGATGCTTCTTTGAATAAGCAAAGAGATAAGTAGGCTCCCTCCCCTTCCTCTTTTCTTTTCTTTCCTTTCTCCCCCCCCCCCCAAAGATTCTCTCTCCCCGCCCCGGAACTCTGCTGAAGAGCCACTTTATTATTAATCAGAATTCCCATCTTTATCTAGGGCTCTTCTTTCTGTGGGGACTGCAGCAGCATCAGAGTATTGGGTCTGAGATGTGCGTGGGGGTTGTTTTTATTATATCTTAGAAGAGAAGAGAGAGCAAGACAGCAGCAAGATAGCGGGGTCTGTTTAGAATAGTAGGAGGGAGTAGAAGAGTGCTGGAAACTACAGGGGGACACATCCCCTAAAGAGAAGGGAGGGCGAGTGGGACTTTTTTTTGGGGGGGCGCAGTGTGGTGGAAGATAAGCTGGAGCAACAGGGTATCACATTTGATAGGAAGACAAATTGTTTCTTGTAAAGAAAAAGGAGGCAGCAGTAGTAACAGCCAGGGTTCAAGGGGGTAGGTAGGGTGTGTGGCTGAGGCCAGACTGGTCAACAAGGAACAAGGGGAGACAAGGAACTGGAGCACGATGACTCATTTACAAGCCGGACTATCTCCAGAGACACTGGAAAAAGCCCGACTGGAGCTGAATGAGAACCCAGACACCCTGCACCAGGACATTCAGGAGGTGCGGGATATGGTCATCACCAGGCCAGACATTGGTTTCCTTCGCACGGATGATGCCTTCATCTTACGCTTCCTGCGGGCCAGGAAGTTTCATCACTTTGAGGCTTTCCGCCTCCTGGCCCAGTACTTTGAATACAGACAGCAGAATCTGGACATGTTTAAAAGCTTTAAGGCTACTGACCCTGGCATCAAGCAGGCTCTGAAAGATGGCTTTCCTGGAGGACTAGCCAATCTTGACCACTATGGCAGGAAGATCCTAGTCCTCTTCGCAGCCAACTGGGACCAGAGCAGGTAAATCTTAAATCCAGTCCTTGCTGTAGGCCAAACTTTTGCAAGGGAACTGGGAGAAATTCTCTTACTAACCCATTTCCTGGGGCTTAAATTTAACAGAGAGCATAGGTTCCGAGATCTGATAACTTTTTTTAATGGAGGCACCAGAAGCTGAGGTTAGGAAAGAAGCTTCCTGAAGTCCAGGGGGAAAGAGAGCCAACTCCTTTACCAATTCAATTTAACAAACATTTATTAAGAACCAGCTATTTGCAGAGCACCCTGGCAAGAAGTATGTGTGTGGGGGAGGAAAGATACCACATTTAGATAAGATATGGTGCCTGCCCCTGACATGATTACCATCGAGTCCCTATTGGTCGGTAGGATTATGGCCAGACTTGCATAACCATATTGTTGAGGGGTAGCCAAGTAGGACCATAGAGGATACCCTTATCTTCCATTTCATATCCTCCCAAGAAAGTTCAGTATACTCTTGAAAAATGAGAATAGAAACATACTTTTGCTTCCTTACCATCTGTTTCTAAAATGTCTTTAGGAGAGATTCCTTATATATCTTGTGTGCTTAAGCATTTTGCTTTTAAGGAAATATTCAGCCAGATGCAGGTAGTTTCATTGCTTGGGGACATTTCTGCTTAGTGATGTGTAGATGAAGGGATAATATGATGTGTCACTTCAAAAAAAATACCTTTTGTATGCTACGGATGCTTTAAAAACACTGAAAAGAAAACATGATTTGTGTGCTTATTCCTCCATCTGTCACTAATATTAAACAACAAAACAATGTGCTTCCTGTTCAATGATGTTGTTCAGAGTGGTGGGGAAAAAAAGTAGCAAACATTCAGATGAGTTCATGGGGAATTTTGTTAGATATCTGGGTGTTTTAAAAAAGAGAGATGTATCACCACATTTTGATTCTAGCCAAAAAAATGCAAACCACTTCTTTTTTACTTTCCGATTTTGAAGTATTTTCCCAGGTTGAAAAATGTGTAAAGTTCAAAAAGACTCAGCTAATGTTCAGAGTTGAATGGGAGACTTATACACTATAATCAGCATTGTTATTTATAATGATTTTTTCTTTATACAAAGAAGTTGTGTTTTAATTTTTTGACAGGTGCCTTTTAGACAGCTTAAATCTATCTTTGAAGCTTTTTATGAAATATTTTTCACATTGGTTAAGAGTTCTTATAGATAACCTTTCTTAGTCCTGAAATTTTAGAATGTAAACTTTTGTTTTTGAGAACAACTGATTTTCAACATGGTGTGTGTGTGTGTGTGTGTGTGTGTGTGTGTGTGTGAATCTGTATTATTAAGATGTGGTAGTTTGTTCCTGTTACGTTAAAGTAAACTCTGATTGTTTCTTAGATAAACACGGTGACAAACTCATATCTGAAGAAAGAGAGTCAAGAGTCAAAACTCATTGGGTAGTTGGTGAGGTGGATTGTGAAGCATGGCTGGGAAAGTGATTTAGTATGAAGAAGTTCTGCTGAAATATAAGACACACATATATGAAGGTTTGGGGTTAACATGGCAGTCTTCAAATGACAATAGTTATTTTTCTCTACTTTTTTTTAATGAGGAAAGAAAACTTACAGTGATCTATTGGATACCCTATTTTGAATTCTATTTCTTTCAAAAGTACCATAACTACTATACTTGAAGAAGTGAGTTGTGGGAATATGTAAGCCATTAATTGGACAAATCAAAATGTAAAGAATTTGTTTAGAAAGAAATTTAACATTTTATGTGCCAGTTAAATGGAGAATGTGGGTTTTATTTAGCTACAAGAAATGGGAAATGGGAAAATTTTTAATTTAAACACCATACAACAGGAGCTGTAGGCAATATGCTAAAAATAATTTCATTCACAGTGACACATAGGATACTTACTTTCAATTAACTCTATATGTGAACTAATGTTCATCTACTGATTTATAGACTAATCTGAGATGGCATTATGGTTTAGTACAAAGAGCAAAGGATCTAGAATCAGTATAGCTGAATTGTAGTTTTACCTCTGCTGTTAATTAACTCTGTGACCCTGGGTAGGTCCCTATAACTTCTCAGGGCTTAGTTTGTTTATCAGTAAAAGGATATTGGATTTAATTCTCTTCAAGAGCTTTCCAAACTTTGGATTTTTATGAACATAGTTTCAGTTTTACATGGGAAAGTAGCAACTCTGAAATGCTTCAAAAAAGTTATATTCTGTTAATTTTCTTTCATTTGTATAAACAAAAAGGGCACGAGTTATAATTGTCAAAATAGAGATTTTTTTGTGATGGAAAGTGATTTATTGATTGACACGAACATTGGTTTCGTCTAATTAACCCAATGTGTTAATATTTTTTCATTTGAGTGAAAGTAGAAAGATTGTAACATGTAATTATATAAATTATAGAATTCATTCAACAAAGCTTTTTTTTGAGAGCTGATTATATGCAAGGCCCTTTGGAATTTTAGAATTGGAAGAAACCTGAATTCTAAGTAAGAAAAACAACTTTGGAACAAGCAAGAAAGTCTGGAATATTAAGGTCAGTTGGTGTGCAATATTAGATATTAGATCATGGATTTTGAGTTGGAAGAGACTTCAGATGTCATCATTTTACAGATAAGGAATTTGAGGCCCAAAGAGATGATAGGATCATAAATCATACATAGATTTAGAGCTGGAAGGAATTTCAGAGTTTTTTAAAGTCCCATTCCCCCATTTTACAGATGAGGAAACTGGAGTGTGGGGGGAGTGAAGTAAGTTTCCCATATCATACAAGTAGTAAGTCACTTGGTGGAGCTAGAATTTAAACTTCCATTCTCTGACTCTATGTCCTGCTCATTCTACTATACCATGCTGCCTTAGTTATGTCTATAAGACAGAAGTGATTTAATCCAAACTACAGTTTTACACAAAATTTTTCTCTTGCTTCCCTCTAGTCCACATGTAAATCTACTCGGGAGAGGCGAAATTGATCAGTGGGTATTTGTTTTTCAGTTGTTCAGTGGTGTCTGACTCTTCATGACCCTGTGGACCATAGCACACGAGGCCCTTCTATCCACCACTATCTCTCTAAGTCTGTCCAGGTTCATTTTATTTTTTCCACGACACTATCTATATATTTCATCCTCTGACATCCCCTTTTCCTTTTGCCTTCAATCTTTCTGAACATCAGGGTCTATCCCATCTTCTAATTATGTGACCAAAGTATTTAAACTTCAGCTTAATTTGAAAGCATTGTTTCTGTAGTGCTCAGTGTTCCTTGTAGTTCAACTCTCATAGCCATACACTGCTATTAGAAAAACCATAACTTTGACTATATGGGCCTTTGTTGGAAAGGTGATGTCTCTGCTTTTTAGTATGCTGTCCATATTTGCTATAGTTTTTCTTCCAAGGATCAAGTACCTTTTAATTTTATGGCTGCAGTTGCCTTCTGTAGTGATCTTTGAGCCCAAGAATATGAAATCTGACACAGCTTCCATTTCTTCTCCCTCTATTTGCCAGGAAATGATGGGACCGGTTGCCAAGATTTAGTTTTTAAGCTTCAAGCCAGCTTTGACACTCACCTCTTTCATCCTCATCAAGAGGCTTCTTAATTCCTCTTCACTTTCTGCCTTCGGAGTATAGGCAAATAACTATTTAGGGGTCTGAATGTATAGCAAAACAATTCACTTAAATACTTGTACCCTAGACAGGTTTCTTTTCTGTTCTTGGAACTGTGAGGAACACCTGCCCTTCAGTTCATCTCATTCTCATCACCTGTCCCACCTCATTGCCTCCAACCTTCAACTTTTTCCCCAGTCTGTTGCACCTGACCTTTTATACATTTACCATAGCCTTCAGCCCTTTTAAAGCTTCAGTGTTTCCATTGGATGCCCAATATTTCTAACTCTGCTTCCCACCTTCTTCCTCTTTCCCTGCTTCTGCTTCAAAAACTCTTTACTCTCCTATTATGGTTTCAACTTGCCAGAAAAATTCTCTACCCTGCTCTTCTCTCCCCTCATTTAGTTCTTTGCCTGTCCAATGACATCTAAGTCTCATGTAACTAGTCAAACCCTCTACCCAAGTAAAACTTGACCATGAATCTCTTACCTTGATCAATGATAAAGCCAGCATCCTGGTTGGACATTAGGAAATCTCCTTATGGTAGCTTTCATGGGTTTCTTTAAGTTATAAGAAAGCTGGGTGGTTGGTAGATGTAGATGATTTTCTAAGGGAGAATCCAGAAGCAGAATGGAATAAAGGATTCTTTTACTCCCCTGCCTACCCCAGTCCCTGTAATGTATTGCTTGCACCCTTTGTTATATTTTCTAAGAGATTTGTTGAACCAGACTCATTGAAGAATTGATCTGCTTAACAGGTCAGGAACAGTGTCATATATTTCTTTTGTATCTTCCACAGCTCCTAACACAGTGCTAGCATTTTACTCAGTAAGAACTGGCTGAATTCAACTGGGTATTATGAGTAGGAAGTTAGCTGACACCCATTTTCTTCAATTTTAGATTTGGAGAATTAGCTGGTGTAGCTACACAGGAGACTGTTGGACAAAAGTAAATATGGGGGAGGGGATGCCAACCATCCATAAATGAAATAGGATTTGTTTCTGCAGTAGAATAATGCAAAGCCAAATCCAGTTATTGTAAAACACTGGCATGCTTCCAGAGGCACTGGAGGACACATTTGATAGTTTTTTTTTCCCACAAGAATACCAAGATAAGAGTGTGATATTCACACTGTCCCCTCTTCTCCCCCCATAACTGGAATGCTCAAAGGCATTCTTGTCAAAATGCCTTTCTGTGTGATCTCTGAGGGTGTTTTATCTTTTTTCTAAAAGGAACAGGCACATGTGATTTATTACATTTATTGAGCAGGCTGTAACTTGGAAAAGATCAATAACATTTTTGCTTTTTTATTTTTGATCGACTAACATAATTTTTAAAAACAAGAAGAAAACTGAAGAATGAAAATAAGTTATCTGACTTCACATAATTCTTTCATTGTCATATTATATATATAC